GTTCAGCTCAACAGCTTCTAGTTACAGCGCCCCGACATGAAGCGCAATCGGCCCGCTTTTCTCGAGGCCGCCGATCACCGCATCGGCCTCGACATCCGCCTGGTTCCCATCAGTGCTGCTCGCGTTCTCTTCGAGGCGGCCGAGGGGCGGTGGCGTCCCCGACCAGCGGCGCCGCGGCACCCGTTCCCTACGCCCCATGGCTCACCGCTAGATCGCCGCCGACACTCCCGGCAGCGGGCCCTGGCCCAACTCCCGGGGCCCGCGACCTTGTGCCGGCCGAGGGGGGCGCCCCCGGGTGCCCGCGCCGCCCGAGGGCGCGCTCCGACCAGAGGCGCCCCCGATCGGCCGGGCAGCGGGGCCGCCGGTGAGGGCGACAGAGGTCTGGCCGCCTGGACAGGGCCAGGCCAGGGCCAGCAGCTCGGGTCCGCAGCAGCCAGAGAGTACGAATAGTTTTTCCGACCCAGCTCTGATGGCAGAACCAGTTCAGGAGTCTGGATACTTTAGACTGGCGAGCCTGCTGATTCGATTCCAATTGCTGTGCCGAAGAGCACTGTAGCTCATCTGCATCTCGAGTTAAGTCGAGAAACTCATCATCATCTCAAACAAACTAGTAGAGTATGCGCATCGCACTCCCGCGACTGGGGCCGCATGGGCTGTGCCGCCCACAGCTGCGCTGCTGCCCCTTCGTTCGGGGTCGTCCTGGTATTCAGGGCGGGGCGGGGCCGACCCCCCTCCCCCGGTGCTGGCTCAGGCAGCTGGGTGGACTATCGCCGTAGCGCCTGGCAGAGCTGGTGCCGGGAGGGCGTTTCCGCCGCGCCTTTCAATCCCCGGGCCGCTGCCTCCCCTCGCCCCCCCGGGGCCGCGGGGCCCGCGGCGGCTCAGGCGAAGAGCTCCGCGCCGCCCCTCGATCCCCGGGCTGCGGCTGCTCCCCGCCCGTCCGATCCCCCCGCGGCCCCTTGCGGCTCCGCCCGCCATGCCTGGGCAGGGGCTCGACCAGGGCGGCCCAGTCGTGCAGCGCGCCGAGGCCTTCCAGCGTCCGGCCCCGCGGCGCGCGCTGCCTGGCGCGTGTTCCGCCCCTTTCCACGAGGCCCCGATCGACCCGACCTTCACGCAGAATGGGGGGCTCAACGACCGCATCGCGCGGGCCTACTCCAAGAAGAACATCGATCCATCACGCGCTCCGCGTTGCTTATGATGAGTGGCTCGCGCAGGCGCCGCGTGGTGACTGAGCCCGCCCGCCCGCCTTGACTCCCGCCTTGGGTCCAGCTCGGGTGACTCGGGCGGGGCTTTGCCTGCCCTTGGCCCCGGCGCCCTCCCACCATCCCCCGCCCTGGCCGGGTTGCCTGGCCCGGCTGCTCCGCCGCCCTGCCGCTCCTCCATTGCGGCGCGCCGCCTCTCGCCGCGGCCCGTCGCGCGGGCCGATCGCCCTCGGTGCCGGCACTGGTGGCCGCCGCCTATCCCTGGCGCGTCCTTTCGCTGTCTGCCGCGCTGCCTCTTTTGAACTTTGGCTGCCCGCTGTTGCTCGTGCGGCCGCCGCTGCTTCGCTCCTCGGTGCAGTGCGCCCTTCTGCCCATCGGCCAGCGGCCGTCTTCTGCCTTCCTGGGGGCCCTTCGCGGGCGATGCGGGCGCGGTCTTGCCCGCCCTTGGCCCCTCTCGCCAGCCGAGCGCGGGGTGCAAGCTCCAGGTGCTGATCACGAGGGTTCAGCCACGCGAAGAGGGGCATCGGGGGAGGGGGGAAGGCTTCTTAGCAGCGCCCCTGCTTCTATAAGAAGCCTTCCCCCTCCCACTCCTTGTGCGCGCCGCCAAAGGGTGGGCCCTCAGTGCTGCTCGCATCGGGCACCTTCTCGGGCTTCTGGGCCCGCGCCCCTCCCATCCCTTGCAGGCTCCGCCTGCCGCTGGTCCGCCTTGTGGGCGCCAGCTCCGCTCTTTTCGTGCCCTGGCGCCTCTTCTCAGGTAGAGCGTATAGCCAGGGCCCCAGTTGAGGGCAGCCGGTGTGTGATTGGGCCCCGGAGTACAAAACATGTATTGAAATCGCTAAACCAGGTTTGCCATAGCTGGTGCTTTTCGGGCGACGGCAGTTCCTGTTAGTGGAATTGGGGGGGGGCGTCCCCTGGTACACATCACGAAACCAGGTCCCTCTAAGTCCAGTCCTGACCACGCCCGATCTTCGGCTTCTGATCACCAGGGTGGGCCCTCTGTGCTGATCGCCGCGTCGTGCCGCCCTCCCGCCCCCGCCCCTCTGCCCTCCCCGCGCGTGCCTGGCACAGCTGATCGCCGTGCCGTGATTCTCGAGCGGCAGCTCATCCCCGCCGCTTCGCTCGGGGCTCTGTCGGCCCTCCGCCGCGCCCCCCCCCCAGTGCCTCCCGGCTCAGGCCCTCGACGGGGGCCTCGCCCTGGCGCGTCGCCGGGCTGGGCCTTCCGCGCTGGCCGCGCGGCCGCCCGCCCCGCCCCGTGCTCGCGCCCCGCCGCGGTCCTGGTCGCGCGGGCCGTCGCGGTGCCCCTCGCCTGCTCCCGCTGTTTGCCTCAGTGTCCAAGGTTGCGGACGAGGGGAAGTGTGTGTGTGTGTGTGCTATTGGCCGAGGTTTGCGGTGCTTGGCCGACAGCTCTGCTGCCTCGAGTGCGACGTGCCGGGTGCGTCTCAGCGGGCCCCTTCGGTGGGCCTCCCCGCCCCGTTCGGTGCTGCCGTTTTCGTGTCTCGCGCTGTCCTTTGCTTCGGCCGCTTCTTGTGCCTGCGTCGTTGCCGTCGCGCCTCCTCCTCTGCCTCAATCGTCTCTGCGCTCTCTTGCCGCAGTCGCGTCTGGCCGTTCGCACCTTGCGCTCTGCCAGACCCAGCGCACGCCACTCACTCGTTCGAGTTCGTCTGACCTGCTCGCGATCACCCGCCCGTAGCCCTTGATGATGCGGCTTTTGCTGGGGCGCATGCGTCGGAAACACGTCTGCAATTCATGACGGCGCGTGTCGCCTGTGTTTTACCAGCTGCCCCCCGCGGCCACCCTGTCTGTCCTTTCCCCGCTCCTGCACGCTGGCCAATTCGCGTCTCGGTGCTCCCGTTTCGCTTTAGCGCTGGTGCAGCCAACTCTGCCTCGCCGCCGACGGAAAAAGTGTTTTACCAGCTGTCTCCGCCCCTCTCCTTCCCGCACCAGTTGCCAGCCTGTCTCGTCTGGCCTTTTTCCCGCTCTCCAGTTCTCCTGCCTCGGGCCTGCGGGCCTGTACACGCTTCCGTGCAAGGTGGCCGCCTCAATCTGGTGTTACAGTGACATCAGCAATACTGTCCCAGGCGATTGTGACCCACCGCTGCGCTGGAAGGCAAGTTGTGCACCGTTGGTCGTTCGAGGGTGTGCGTCCGCGTGCTCTGCTCTGCGAGGCAGGTGCCTGCCTCCCCGCTCTCCCGCCCGGCAGATCTCGTCTGCGGCGTGGGTTGCCGCACCGAGGTCCTTTGGGGTATACGGGCGGCCTCGGCCCTCACTCAGGGGGGGGAAAAACACACAGACACAATTAATCGTCCACTCCCAGGAAAATATGGGAAAATATGGGGATTGGGGGGGAAGACAGAAACCCAGAAAATATGAGAAAATATGGGGAATCCTTTTATTTGTGTGTATTTATTTGTGTGTCCCAGGGCCCGTTCACTCACGTGGTCCTCTGCAGCTCCAGGGCTTGCCCCGTCGAGGTCGCCTCCGTCGCGCCAGCCGCCGTGCACCCCAGGCCTCGGGGAGCGCGCGCGGGCAGCCTCCGCTCTCCCTCTCTTGGTCGCCCCGCCCCCCTCTCTTGCGGCCGCGCTGCCAGGCGACGGCCCTGGAGCGCGGGGGAGGCGGGCCCCATCCCCCATCCTCCCCCATCCTCCCCCTCCTCCCCCTCCTCCCCCTCCCCTTCTCCTCCTCCTCCTCCTCCTCCTCCTCCTCCTCCTCCTCGTCCCGGGGGCCTTCCCCCGGGACGAGGTCTGCCTCCCGCGCCGCTCTCTGGCGGCCGCCCTCTGGGCCCGTGGAGGGCCCCGAGAGCCCCACGAGGGGCGGCCGGAGGGTTCCAAAAAGGGGGTTTTCGGGGAGGGGGAGGGGGAGGAGGCAAGGACGAGGAGGAGGAGAGGGAGGAGGACGAGGAGGAGAAGGGGAAGGGGGGAGGGGGAGGGGAGGGAGGGCGGGCGGGAGGGAGGGGAGGGGAGGGGAGGGAGGGAGTTCTCCAGAGAGCCCCCCAGGGGCCTCGGAACCTCGTCGAAACAGGGGGCGCGACGCGCCTGGGGGACCCCTCCTGAAAAACCCCCTCCCCCGAAAACCCTCTTTGGAACCCTCCGGGACGGGATCGAGAGCTTTCGGCCAAACCCGAGCGACGCCACCCCCAGGAGATGTCCACATCCACATGGTCGGCGACGTGCCGCTGGGATCTCGGGGAGCGGTGGATGTGGACGTCTGCCCGCCCGCACAGGCGTGCAGGTGTCCGTGTCCATCGCTCCCCGCGTGCCTGGGACTCGATCCCGCGGCAGTGGACGTGAACACCTCCTGTCGGCACGACTCGGCACCACCTTGGCCAGACAGGCCCGTCCTCCATCCCCCGTCATCTCCCCTTGATCTCCCCGCCTCCCACCGATACACGACGACTCCAACAAGAAGGATTCCCCCCCCCCTCCTCGCCCCCCCCCTCACATATTTTTTTATACGTCTCGCATGCGTGCCTCACTGTGCACAAGAGTATTTGGGAGGTCGCGGCCTCACTCACCTGGTCTCGAGCAGGCCTGTCCTGCATCCGCGGCCCTCCACGTGGCGCTACGACCCACCTGGTGCCGCGGCGCATACCACGCCGAAGTTCCCGCCAGGTTTCCTGGCACACGCGGCGCCCCCTCGGGCCGTGGGTGGGGTGGCGTCTTCTGCCTCCCAGAAAGGATACTTCAGATTCCAGGATCAAGTGTAGGGGGGTCACATTTGGGTGTGGCCCACTTGCGTGGTTTTCACGTGATGCTCGATTCGTTCCAGCACACTAGATGGCCATTCTGCACCGCCCCTGCCGAGGCGCAGATCGAGGAGCTGGCAGACTTCTGCCGCCAGCGCACGGCGGCGGTGGAGAGCAAGATCGACCAGGCACCCTCCGTCTTGGGGAGCAGAAGGCGTGGACACGGACGGGGTGCGTCCGGAAGCCCCCATCCCCTGCCCGGGGCCTTGGGGCCGGTTCTTGTCTCGTTTTTTTTTTTTTTTTTTTTTGTTTTGCGTTCCGGGGCGGGCTTCGGTCGAGGAACAAGTGCCGACGTCGGAGGTCTGGGATCCGCGGACGAGGTAGCTCGGTGTACGCGCAGAGCGGCATGAGGCTCAGACAGTATTTGCTGCCCATGCCTAGCATGTCTCATCCATGACCGGCTCCCCTGCTTCAGACAAGTCACCGTAGCGATGACGCAGTGCGTCAGGAGGTTGCCCTTGCAGCAGTGCCTGATCGGCCCATGCTTGGGCTACTGAGAGTGTTGGGACCCAAAGGTCTTGCATCCTCGCATTGAGTACTCACTCCGATGGCCAACAGTGCCCTTGCCTGCGGCAGTTGCGAGGGGGTTCATATGGTGACAAAGCGGGTGGTAACGACGAGTGACGGTTGTTTTTGTTTGTCTTTGACTGGCTTCTGTGGTCTCGCTGTCGGTTCTGAGGCGCACGTGATCCGCGGAGCGGCGAGCGTCGGTCTGCCCAACAGCAGTCGCTTGCCTCTGTCTGACAACATTTGCTGCTGGGCGTGGTCTCCCACTGGGTGGTGCTGCCCCCACTTCGGGCGTTCTCTCCCTCCCCTGGTCCATCTGTCTGAGGTTAAGGGCATACACGTGTTGCGCTTCGGAGAAGCTCGACGTATACACCACGTCGTTTGATTGGCCAGGGGCCACGGAGTTCGGCGAGTGAATTTGGTGTATAGACGCTCCAGCGTCCGACAGGCTGGGCAGCAGGGGCGTCTAGAAACTAATCTCCTTGCCCGACCAAACGACGTGGTGCATGCAACGAGACCCTCACACCTCATACACTGCGCGGAACAGACAGCAGGATAAAATGCCTCCCCCGCCCCCCCTGAAATTCAAAACGGGATTCCGCCTGGGGGCGAGGGGCCCTGGGGTGATCCACTCCATTAAGTAGAAGTCCATCTAGCTGCCTGCAGCACGTCCCGCCGTGCCTGGGTTGTGGGTATGAAGTCAATTTGATGTTCGAGTTTTGAGGCCTCTTTCTCGTTGGCCTCTTGGGCTCCATTCGGTGCCTCTTGAGGCCTCCCGGGGCCTCTTGGGGCAGAATGCTCGGATTTTCGGTTCGTGTACCCTCTCTTTATGCCCCTTTTGCGGCCGTCTTTGGGCCCTCTTGGGGCGTCTTGGGCGCCTCTTGGGCCGTCTTGGGGCGCTCTTAGGCTGTCTCGGGGCCCCCTTGGAGGCCTCTTGGGCCGTTTTGGGGTGGCCTTGGGACCTCTTGGGCTGTCTTGGAGCGTCGGAATTCCGAAAAGGCGAGATCGCCAAACTCTTCCAAAACCATCGGCATCTCAATGATTTTTGCCTCCTGGGGCCCTCGATGCCTCTTGGAGGCCTCTTGGGGCGTCTTGGAGGCCTCCGGCCTTCTTGGATTGTGTTGGGGGCCTCCTGGGCCGTCTTGGAGTCTTGGAGGGCCCCAGGGAGGCGCCATGGCCGCCCAGGGACCCCCAGTAATAGGGGCGATGCAGCCCCCTGGGTGTGACCAGGAGGATGGTGGGGGAGTCCTTTCGAAGATTCCAGAATTTGCCAGGCAGCCATTGGTATTCTTCCACGCCTCAGCGTGCCGCAGGCACGGTGATGGAGCCTGGTTTGGGGCGATTCTGATTGTGACGCTCTCAAGCACTGGCTGGCTTGGCTCCTGGTTTGGCCTGGTTTGGCCATGGTTTGGCCTGGTTTGGGCCTGGTTTCGCTTGAGACGTCCTCAAGATTTGCGAGGTTTGACTTGGTTTGGCCTGGTTTGGGTCCAGTTCCGCTTGAGACGTCCTCAGAATTTGTTTGGTTTTGCCCTGGTTTGGCGCGAGTTGCTAGGTTTGGCCAGGTCCAAGAAGCGTTCAGGAGGCTCGCGGAGCGAAACATCAGCGAATATCTGGACGGCTCATGGTCGCCATGCCGTCTCAACATACAGTGGGACGTGTCACGTTTGGTTCGGCACGGAACGGTCAATTAACACACGTCGTGGTGGGCGTGTACAAACCGAATTGATGGGACGGTGCCGTAAATACTTCTGTGGTGCACATGTAACACGACTACGCTACAACATGGCGGGCGCCATGGGTGTGGATATTCTCAATAGGTTGTGGATCGGCGTAGGCGTGTGTGGCGACGTTCAGAGGACATTTTTCCGATAATGTACGTAGTTGCTACGACTTGCCAGAAGGTGAACGGAAGGAGCTGGATGAGCGGACAAATAGATTGCAGTCGGAGTTGCGCGAGGCAGGAACCGACCACCATGATAACGCGTCCTCGCCGTGTGGTTGGGCTTCGATGTTTCGGCATTGAAGCGCTAGAGGTTGTCTTGGCAAATTATT